ACGACGACAACAACTGTGGGGTTTGTTTGTTTTTGCTTTGCTTGGGTTTTTTTGCCCCTATAACGGTGGGGGCAGGGAACAGGTGGCAGCTCTGCCCTGGGACCTGGCCCTGCATTGTCACTGCCTTGCCATCCTGTACCCTGCCCATGGGGGTCCTGGCCAGTCTCCATGGAGACCCTGCCTGCCTGCCTGCTTTGTCCAGCACCCCTGGGCAGTGGGGCCAATCCGGCAGCAGTGGTGAAACTGGTGGTGGCATCTGGAAGAAGCTGCCACTGCGTGGGCTGCTGGAAGTGGAGTCTGGCTGCTACGCCACCCCCACCTCCATGCTGCTGCGCGCCCAGGGGCAGCGGGACCAACTATGCCCCACGGCTCAGGCCAGTCCAAGGTGCCCACAGGCCATATTTTGCCCACCTCTGCCCTCTAATAACCATGGAGTTGGGCTGGGCTGAGGTGTTTTTTGGCAGCTGTATAATAACAGAGGAGCCAGGCCAGGACTGTGGGGGGGGAGTTGTAGGCCCTACAGTAAGAAAGCAGCTGAGCTTTTATAGACTGTACAACAACAATGGAATCGGGGCTGGAGCTGGTGTTTTCTGTAAGCCCTGTAACAAGGGAGCCCAGGGCTGGTGCTGGGTGTTTTTTGTTGGCCCATAATGCCAAAAGAGTCGCAGCTAGGGTCAGGGTTTTTGCAGGACTTTTAAGAACTGGGGCTGGGTGTTTTGGTAACCCCTACTCGGTAGGAGTAGGGGGGCTGGGGCTGATCAGGGTGTTTGGGTGCAGAGGCCCCACGTCCTGCCCTCTTCCCCCATCCCAGTCTCCTGGGTTCTCCCCAGCTGACACCTCCCTGCTCCCATCCAGGGTCAGAGGCCTCCACGTGGGGCAGCGGCAGCCTAGGATCTCCACCCCACAACACGGTGGTGCCTGAGAGGTATGTGCCTGGGAAGGGCCTGGGGGCTGGGTTGGGAATGGGGGAGCTCGTGGTGCCTGAGAGGTATGTGCCTGGGGGCTGGGTTGGGAATGGGGGAGCTGGGAACCTGAATTCCTGAGTTCTCTGGGGGGAGCAGGGGGGGTTGGGAGCATGGACACCTGGATTCCCTGGGAGGGGAGTTCAGGGACTGGGGGGTGAGCCCAAGGGGCTCAGAGTCTGGACACCTGGGTTTTCTGACCCACCATATGCCCCCCTACCCCTAGCGACGAAGAAGCTGAGGATGCCCCCAGCCTCTCTCCCCACCTCTGCTTCAATACTCCAGGGGGTGCAGCAACATCAGGGGGGCAGACACTTCCCCCTGCCCCAGAGCCACCAGATGTGGAGCCCCGAGGCCAGGATCCAGATGTTCCTGCACCAAAGACCTGTGGATGGGAGCTCCTGGCGGGGGGCAGATGCACAGACACAAAGGGGACCAAGGATCCAGATGTTGTGGGTTCCCAGAGCCATCAGCCAGCTGTGGAGGTGGGCAGCATCATGGATGTGGAGGACGGTGACAGGCTTTCAGATGTGACAGATCCCCAGAGCAGCCAGCCTGCCTTTAAAGCGGACAGCGACACTGATGTAGAGGAGATTCCAGATGTTGTAGGTCCACCCAGCCATCAGCCAGCTGTTGAGGTGGGCAGTGACACTGATGTGGAGGATGGTGACAGGAATCCAGAGGTGGGGGTGGCAGCCCAACTGACTGCAGCATCTCCCCGGGCTCTTGAGCCCCTTGCACCTGGAGCTCCTGATCCAGATTTGGAGGCCCCCCAGCCCCGCCCATCCTCTTGGCCATCATCTGGGGACGACAGTGAGACTGATGCGGAAGGTGAGTGATAAGAACTCGCCCTGCCCGGTTCTGTCCTCTTACCCCCTGGGCAAGGGTCCTGAATGACCCTCCCCCTCCCTCCCAAAGGCCTGGGTTCCACCCCCATCCCCGGCAGAAGGACCTTTGAATGGCTGCCCCTCTGCCGGACACCTGGGTTCCCGACCCTCATCCACCCCCGGACACCTGGGTTCCCAAAGTCGAGCACCCGCTGCCACCAGCTTTGATGCCTGGGTTTGGTGGGCGCACGCTGCCCTGCAGTGCATGCTGGGATAGTGCTAGGACTTCCCTCTCACCCTTTCTCTTTCTGCCCCCCTCCCCCCTGCAGATGACCCCAACCTGGCATTGGAGGCCACCCAGTGCTACCTGGGCAACGAGGCTGGAGCCCCCGGTAGGATACCTGGAGTCTCTCCGAGTTGCGGGGGGAAGGAGAGGCTGGGAGCCCGGACATCTGGGTTCTCTCTCCCCCTGCCACTGGTGTCCCCACATTGTGGAGGGGGGGCAACACGGGGGATTGTGGGTAATTCCCCTACCTTTCCCCTTCCCTGCAGCCCCCGGCCTGGAGGAAGAGGAGGCCACCCAGAGGTTCTCCTTCAGGACCCAGTGCCGGGCAGGGGAAAGTGAGTGAGGAGTTGCATGGTGTCGCCCAAGGGGGTGGAGTTAGCCCCAGTGGGGGTGGGGTCTGGCTGGGGGTGGAGCCAGTGACCCACTGGATGGGGTGCTGGGTGGGAGGAGGGGTTTAACACCCCAGGGTCACATGATGTAGCCCAAGTGGGGGGTGGAACTGACCACTGGGCTGGGTCCCATGAAAGGGGTGGAGCTAATGACCCCTGCAGGGCAGGTTTACCGCGCAAGCCCTCAGTCCCACACCCTGGGGTGCCTCCACCCTGACTGGGCCCTATGCCAGGGGGGCAGGGCCTTCAACTGGGGTGGAGCTAATGACTGACTACCTGGGCGTGGAGCTCCAGGTCTCCGTACCACCTCCATGATGTCGCCGCTCATGCTGGGGGCAGAAGGTTCCCTAACAGCCATCTTGGATCTGGCATCAAGTGGGGGAGGTTCCCTTGTGGCCATCTTGGATTTGACACCAATAAAGAGCGGGGCGTGGGACTTGCTGGCAGCCGTCTGGGATTAGACATGCCTGCGGTGGCAATTCTCTGGCGGCCGTCTTGGATTTTGCACCAGCATGGGGAGGTATCCGTGTGACCATCTTGGATTTAAAGCCCTTAGTGAGGGTGTCTCCTGGCAGCCATCTTGGACTTGCTACCACCAAAGATGGGGAGGTCCATTGTGGCTATCTGGGATTTGATGCCAGTGAAAGGGGGCTGCTGCAAAGGATTCTGGGAAGTGGCAGACTAACAGGCCTGGGCTATAGGGCCCCACTGGGGATGTGGACGGGGACCTGGGAGCCCCGTCTCCTGGGTCCACTCTCTGTCTTCCCTCCCATTTTCCAGTGGAGTCAGATGAGGAGCTGTACGTGGAACAGGCCACCCAGGCCTTCATCGCCCAGGAGGAGGAGATGCAGCCCCTGCCCATGGCACCGCCCTCAGCACTGCCCCCGGCACCTGGGGGAAAGCAGCACCTACCCAGTGGGGCCACGTTGGAGCCACCAGGTGGCACCAGACTGGAACCCACCCCAAAGCCAGAGGAGGAGGAGACTCAGCCTGTGGCACCAGGCCGTGGCACCCCACACAGGCCCAGCCCAGCACTGCAGGGTGAAGAGTGGTGGGGGGGTGTTTGTATGTGCATCCTGGACACCTGGGTTCTGTGCGGGTGTTCCTGTCCTGAGTGCCTTGGGGGGGTCCTACACGCCTGGGGTGGGTGTGGCGTAGCTCATGTACTGCGTACGTGGGCTGGCTCTCCAGCCCCAGGAGGGGAGTTATGGGGTTGGCAGTCTGGATGTCTGGGTTCTCTGGGTGGGGGGCAAGGGCTGAAGGTTGTTAAACCGGGGGGCTGGGAGCCGAGACGCATGGGTTCTCCGCACGCTGTGAGGCGGGCAGCTGGGTGCATGCAGGGGAGCTCCCTGGCTGGGGAGGCGGCAGGACTGACCCTTCTGTTCTCCTCTTCTAGGCCCTGTGGACGGGGAGCCAGGGAGGCTGCAGCTGGAGGGCACCAGGGCCGTCCCCTCACTTGCAGAGCCCCAGCTTGGGGACAGCACTGAGGTGAGTGCTGCCCCAGCTCCACCTCCACACCCCTCCTGGAGCTGGAAAGACCCCAGGCATCTGGGCTCTGAGCCTATCCTGCTCTCACCAACCAGTTTTATTTTTTGTTTTTTGTTTTTCCTCTCTGGGAAAAGGAGAGAACCCAGGGGTCTGGGCTCCCTTTTACATGCCCACCTGCCCTGCTTGCTTCCCTGAGCAGGGAAAGAAGCCAGGCGTCTGGGCTCCCAGCTTTCGCTCATAACCCTCGCTCCACTCCCAGAGCCAGGGGGCGGAGAAGCCAGGTGTCTGTGCCCACGGTCTCTCATCTCTCCCTTTGTTGTCTCAGGTCCCAGCAACCCCAGAAGAGGAGGCGGCAGCTCTGGCTGCTAGGAGGCGCCGTAGCCTGCGCTCAAGCTCTGCCCCCAGCCCTGCTCCTGCTCCTGCCCCCGCCCCCACCGCTGCCCCTGTCCTTCGACGCAGCCAGCGGCGCCGGGCAGAGGCCACCCCACCAAAGCCTCCCCAGAGGCGCAGAACCCAGGGCTCAAGTGGTCTCAAGGCCCCAGGGGATGCTGGGAGCAAGGCTGGGGCCCCAGAGGATGCTGGGAGAGAGGCCAGCCAAAGCAAGGTGTGACTCGGGCCTGCTGGGGCAGGGCATAAAGGGGCATGGTCTAAATTGGGGG